GTTTCCTTGGTTTCAAAATCACGTGGTAAATGATTCTTCGATCAATGGAAGTGATCGAGTGATTTATCTCTTTTTAAGGAAGCACTGAGTAATCCTAGGGATTATATAAATTAGGTTAACCTAATCCTGCTTTTTATCCTTCAGGAATTTGTTATCAGAAGAAAAATTAATGTATGCAGAATTACAAAAGGGCCTATAGATATATGATTCACTATATTTAGGATTGTGTAGTCTTGATGAATAGGCCCAAAAATTGTTTGTGCTTTGAATTATAAAGTGAGAGAGTCAAGAAGCAAGTGATAAGTATATAAAAGGCTGCTGTACCTATAAAATACTTGTTTCCTCATTTAGCAAATCAATGATCTCTTCAAAAGATTACAAAATATATAGTTCATTTCTATACCTCAGTTTCAGCCCAATTTTAGAAATTAAACTCAGCACAATTCAGTAATTCTTGAATATATATTAAAAAAGTAATCCTTTAGCACTTACTAAATGCATTATAGTAAAATTTCTTATAATCTTTAGATGATGCCGTCTATGGAAAGATGTGTTAATGATGAACTTATATTTAAATCATGTTTCTGTATTCTTAAAACCGTACAAATCTCTTAAACCAGAGGGACTTTAACGTTCTTACCTTCATTAGCAGCTTCATCTCCAAAGGAGGAACCGTATGCTAACTGTAACATTTGTCCAACCCAACTGAAAAAAATACCAAGGAGAAAAAAGGCAATAGTTAATAATAACAGCCAACAATTATTGAATGACTATGGTATGCAAGGCGCTTTCTCATTTAATATTCACGTCAACTATAAGAGGTAGGAACTATTATTATTTCCACTTAACAGATGAGAAAAGTGAGTTTTAGAGAGGTTAAATAATATGCCCAAGTTTACACAACTAGTAAATGTTGGTACACTTAATCCAGGCAGGCTAGCTCCAGAGCACACAATCTTCAGCACTATCTCGTATGACTTCCAGCTGTCATTAGAAATATCTTAAAATCCAAAGGGCTATAGCCTGACACCAAATGACAAAGAGTTCCACAGACGCAATAATTTTCTTTAGTGAGAAATTTTTATCAATAATAGAGTAATAGTACAAACCAGAATTAAAACAAATGAAGATCATGATTCGAGGCCAATACAAATTATATGAAAACCTTCTTTAATCATGAGATCAAAGAAAGCTGTATCATTGAAGCTTAAATGTTTTCAAAGCTTTCCATATCACCGACATTAGAAGGCTAAATATCAATATATGCCAATTATCCTTGTTTATGGACTGACTTTCAAGCTGAATTAGAGCTGCCCTGATGGTATCTATAGAGGTGTGGGGACCTGGAATTGGCCACCCCAAGATATGTCTCTTTGGCATCAGGATTATTTGAGGCTGATTGCTTTTGATAAACTGGGACAGGGAAGGAGGCTCTGAGGAATGGAACTTGCCCTTCCTTAGGACACATTTACATTTGTAAGGTAAATCTCTATCTGTAAAAGCTGCCTCCCTCTCTGTACCAGGAAGAAGAAAGGCGATGACCTTCTCTCTAAAAACCCTTAATCAATACCAAAGGCAAGGACTTAAAATCTGCATTTTATTGTGCTAGTCTGGTAACCTCCTGTAACTGACTTCCCTCCCCCTCCCAACGTTGGCATCTCCTTAAAGATTAAGCATCTTTCTTTAGGCTGGGAACCGATTGCAGCGCTCATCTGTGACACCCCCCAGCCCGAGGCAACACACCTGCCACCCTGCGGCGCTCACTGAGACAGCAGACCTATCTGCCGTTTCCATCAAGCGCTGTGCTGACAGAGCAGCCTCGTGACTGTTGTAAAAGGGACTTTTCAATCATATGTGAAACACCCCGTTTGGGGGTATATAACCACTATGTGCACCCCACTTCTTCGGTGCCCTTTCTTCCTTCGGGAAGAAAGGCCCCGGGCCATGGTTCCTCATAAAGCTTTGTTTAATTTTCTCTTGCTATTCTGTCTCATGTGAATTTAATTCGTTCTCCAGCCAGACGAACCCCCATTTGGGGAGAGGAAATGTCCTCCTCCCCTACAGAGGCAAGTCCCAGTCATAATGTCTTACTCCTCATACACATAACTCATGGTATTAAAAATCATGCCAAACACTTAGCAAGCTGAAAGTACTCAATTTTATACTGGATGCTTTCATTTAGAAAGACTTATTATTGATTTTTACCAGGCAAAATCTATATCTTTTGATGCCTAGTATAGAACCTTTTCCCAAAATCGTCTTTGTTATTTTGCTTTTGAAAATATTGACAACAGAACAAGATTCATCTCTCCCTCTTGTAATCAAAATAAAAATTTTAAAAATTCATAATTAATTTCATTTAAATTTAGGAAATGGTGGTTGGGGACTGACAGAACAAGATAGAAGTGGACATTTTGAATTTAAAAAATCATTAAATATTCTAACCAGGAATAGTATTGCCATCCTGGTATGGCCATTTTGATTGCTTCAAAATGTCTTGCTTAGATTTTATTGTTTAGCCCCAAGTATTTACTATCATGTGGGTTTAATTTTAATGTTGAAAATATATTTGAAGAAAAATAATAAAGACAATATAATTAGTAACTATGAATTGGACTATTACAGGAAAAATCATCATAGTGTGAGATCCTTTTAATCTGAATCTTCTGGCTATCATTACTGATGACCTACAAAGGCAATCTTTACCATAAAATTTCTGTTGGCTTCTTGGGAACAGACTATAATATTGAATTTCTTCATTAGAATTTATTAAGTGGCAATGTTTCAACCCCCTAGAAATATTAAACAAATTCTTAGCATAGCTCTCTATTAAATCAATGATCTTTAGTGATATGGACAGAAATTCTATTCATTTCTTGTAGTCACATATCATAATGTAGTATTTTGTGAAAATCTTTGGTTGCATAAGAAAACTAAAAAACAATAATTAAAAGGTGTTCAGTTTGTAAACCATACAATAAAGAAAGTTTTTAGTCAAAATTAGGTAAAAACAGAATTCTCCCTCCCTCTCTCAATTTCAAATGTTCAATAGCCATGCGTGGCTAGTAACTGCTGTATTGCATAGTGTAGATATAGATTATTTTCATCATTGCAGAAAGTTCTATTAGGCAGCATTACTTTAATATACGGGAAAAAGGATATTTTATGTTTTTGGGGTTGGTATCTTTGACAGAGAAATCAAAGATTTTCACAAAATTATTGATTAGTTTAATAAGGATTTAAAAATCTTAGGCAATTGATATTTTAATATCTTTATAAAATTATAATCCTTCCATCTCCCCTTGAAAAAGTAGATTATAAGTAATATAGTAAAATTAACTTTTACTTTTCCAGAAGAAATTTACAAAAACAAAAAACGTCTAATTTAGAAACTAAAAATTTTCTCAAGTGAGAAATTAATGCAATTTATAAGTTACCGTATTTAAGTAGAAATAACTTTTCCTATGTTTTTTTCTTCAGTGCTCCAGGTATGAGAAAATCTGACATTTGTTGAAAATGTAATGTCAACAGCATTGTCAGCATCCAAAAAATATTTTAAATGTACATAAAAGCACTAAGAAACTAAGGATACATTTTCGCTGCTGAGCAGTTATCAGTGTTTTCTTCTTCTTGAAATATTAAGGAATGGACTTACTTTTTAAAAAATTACCATCCTTAGCCTTACTAACATTAAATAATATAATTGGTTAAATTATAAAATGTTTTAAAATGTAATAATGGTAGTGATCAATTTGTTACACTGATTGGTCATTCCTGAATGTACAAGTTCTAAGAGAAATTAGATTTCTTCAATACACAAGTATTTTTATAAAATTAAGTTTACCTTTACAACCAGATAGATCCAAGAACTTAAGACTGTCAAGGTGCAATTCTCCATGGTATTTCTACACATCTTGTGACAGCATTTGTCCTGGCCTATAGGTTCAAGCGTGTTTGTATAGCAAATAGCCTTGGAAGATGAAGGTCCCTCCAAGGCAGAGGCTGGATTCGTTTTCTGAGCAGGTTAATAAAGATAACATCTTTCTCTGGGACAAATGTTGGTCAGGTTTGCTAGAATTCTTCTTTCAAAGACTAGGGGGTTCCTAAGCTTGGGGTCACTCAGCTGTGACACAAAACCACTGAGTGTGCAGCACCCACTTGGTCTGCTCCATACCTTCCCCTTGGGTCTTGGGGGACCAGGAGAACTGATGTTAGTGAAGCTCATGCTGCCTGCTGGGCTGCGACTAATAAAGTCCTGTCTCTAACCTGGGAGTCTATGTCATTCTGCCAGCCTCCGCGAACAGCGCTGGCTAATTTGTAGGCTTGCAAGCTGGATAAAATCTCACACATTACACAGTTCTTGAGAAAACATAAGACAAATTAGAGCTAGTAGGTATGTTCTGAGAACCGGCCTACAACCCAGAGTGTGGGAGAGAAGCAGGTTGGTCACAAGGGTGGGGATTGAAGGGGCAGGAGGTGGAGAAGGCTGGGAACAAAATACGTAATTTTGTAACAACTCCCAATCCATTTAATTTTTGGCCAGTTAAACCTGCAACACAAAATAGAGGATATGGGTTTATATTAATCTTGGTCAAAAACAAAACAAAACACCTGAAGACACAGGTTCTTCAGAATAAAATGGATACCTAAGTAGTTTTGTAATCTTCATCTAGTTTTTTTCTCACCATGTCAGTTCTAAAAGACTCCACATTAAAAATTATCCCACTGGTTGATGGAAGTGCTCTCCTTCTCATCCTAAAGCCACCACCCCGTTGTTCTTGCTTCCCAATCCTAAACCAATAAAGAAAGCTTTTAGTCAAAACTAGATTAAAACTGGTCTGACTCCCAACCCCACCCCCACCTCCAGCCTTACCCCCACCTCCACCTCCACCTCCACACTCTCTCCACCCCCTCCACACACACTCTGATATGGAAGGTGTACAATAGACGCCCAGAAGGATGGGGAGACGTGGCTTCATAGAAAGTACTCAATAGATAATTTATTGAACTATCTTTATTAGACCATGGGATTACCATGCATTTTAAAATCACATAGCATATCTTTGAGTCCATTCCCGCGCTGTTTTGTTGTACTTCTGCCGATCCTTTAAGTACACCTTCGCAATTTCGGGAACCAGTGGATCATGTGGGTTGGGATCGCACAACATGGAACAGATGGATAACAACACTTTGGAAATGGTCAGTACCGGTGACCACTCGGATCCAAGGATGTCTAGACAGATACTTCCGTTCAGGTTAATGTTGGGATGGTAAATTCGGGTGGTGAATGAGATCTTGGGTGGTCTGAAGGGGTAATCGAACGGCAACTGGATTTTTAGGAAGAAGACCCCTCCCTGGTAGGGGCTGTCTTCGGGCCCCATTATAGTTGCCTGCCATTGGAACAAATCATTACCCACCGGCCCTGCAGAGCATTGGGCTGGGGGGTCGTGGGTCAAACTGAGGAGTTCCTTGTGGATGCGCTGTAGGGCCATGTCTGCGACACGCGGCCAACCCTTGGCACGGGACCTGGAGACAGGTAGAAGGCGGGGGTCAGTGATTTGGGGGTGGAAGGAGCAGCCACCTACCGGGTAGGCAGAGAAGTGGGCTGAGGACTGGCTGGGGGGGATCGAGGGGAGCGTCCGGGGAGGGGGATGGTTGTGGAGAGGGGGACTGAGGGAGGGATTTGGGCCCTGGACAGGAACTGATGGGCTACTAGACACCTGTGGCTGTGGCCGCCGCCGCCGCCACCTCTGCCACCTCTGCGCTGTCCCGAGCCGGAGATTCAGTCGTGGAGACCGCGCTGCGCAGACACACTGCTGCTCCCGCCGGGCCGCCTGCCCCTGCTGCTCACGTTGGGGTCCCCTGGAGACAGGCCCGCTTTCTCTCTGTGAGGTCACAGGGGCCACATGACGCAGCGCAGCGTCATCAAGGGCGCGTCCAGTGAGGGCCCAGGGGGCATGGGGTCATGGAGGGGCAGGCTGGAGGGGGGCAGGCTGTGGGGGGGGGGGAAGGCGGGGCCGGAGGGCGGGGCAGGGAGTGAGGGAGCGGGGACTGCCGGGTTCGCTCAGAGCTTTCCTGAGCCTAGGGCTGGCAAGCAGGGTCACACGCAACATATGCCATCTGCCGCCGAGATTTACTGGAATAAATAGGAGCAATTCAATGAATTCCCGTCCATTCTTCACTCACCCAGATTCACCATCCGTTAACTTTTTTGGGGGGGGTGGTGAGGAAGATTGTCTCTGACCTAACATCTGTGCCAATATTGCCATTACACTTTAACCAAATGACTTTATACTCATTTGTCTCCACATTTGAGAGTAAGCTACACACAACATGGCCCTCTACTTCCAGATACTTCCTTGTGTATTTCCTAAGACAGACATTCTCTTATATAAGCAACATCAGTAAACTTAACACCGTTATGATACTTTTATAACTTTTCAAAGTAACTTTTCACAGCCTTTTGGTAAATTTATTTTTTATGAAGAATTAAAGCCTTCAAAAATTCAATTTAGAGATAAAATCACTTTAATTTTTGAAGAACTTACTACGGGAAAGGAAGGAGGAAGGAAAGAAGGTAAAGAAACCAGTAGTCCACCTAGCATATACAAGCAGTTTGGCTATTGTTCTTTACAAAAAAAAAATCATTTTGGGGAAGTAGTGGTTCCAACAAGTGTACCTGCAGAGCAACACTGTCTTTCATTCATGAGGATGTCCAGTAAAGATGCTGATTCATGCAAAACTCTCTTCACTTGCTTGTATATACGGGGATATAAAGCCAAATAAGTACCATAAAAATAGGTTGGTCTGTTAGCCATATCAATTCTTTCCCACGAATTAAGCAATAATTTAATAAAATGTTCTTAAATTTTGGTAAGATATCACATTAGACATGGTAGAACACAGTTTCATTTATGATATACCGGATGTTCTTCAAGTATGAAAATTTCCTGCTGCAAAACTAGTTATCTAATATACCTATTCAACCAATTTAGGAAGGCAAGATAATTATTTGACAGTATTTTAAAAGGAGGAGAACATAGATGGCTGAATGGCTCCTCTAATAGTAAGATAAAATGTCTAATTCTTTGAAAGGAACTTTTCCAAATATCTTGTGTTATACGGTACCCAAAAGAACATGGTTTTTGTGCTTGTGAACAAATGAACTATTCTTGTTACTGTGGTAAATATCAAATTTTAAAATCTTCATTTAAAATAACAGAACATTTGATAAGAAAATTGCAAAAGGCAACCAAGGCTAGTTCTTTATGTAGGGAAGCATATATAACATTGCAAGATTTTGAGGTAAGCTTCTGAAGTTCTCTTTTTCCAAGGGGATGAGATTTGAAAATTATTTTGCAAGATCGGATGCCATTAACACCAACCTTTTTAATTGGGTTGGGTATCAGGAAAAATGAAATTCTGTGTAACTTCTCTATAGGATTAAAAGGTAGCCATGATCCCCACAACCTTTCAGTGACCAAATCCTGTGGAAAATACCTTTCACGTCCATCTGCACTTCATCCCCAGTGTGGCTGCTATAATTCAGAATATAATCATTTGTCACCAGAATACAATAATATATTTAATGAGTGTCTGTGCTGCCAATGCTGCCACCCTCACATCCATATTTAATACTGCCACGTAGAATGATCTCCCTAAAGCATAAATCAATTCCTATCATAATTTTCAATAGCCCTCTATAACCTGCAGGATGAATTCTAAATTTCAGGGCTGCCCTATTCTGTTGTCCCCAAGGAGAGTTAAACTTCAGTGTTTTCTGCTACATGGAATCTTTTGTGTGCTTATAATACAGCATGTATTATACCCCATTGTCATTGTCTATTTAAATGTTCATCCTCCTAACCAGTCAGATAGCTTTTTGGTGAGAGGATTGACCTTGATCATTTTGTACTCTTACTCCCTAGTATATACTAGGCACTCAATATTTTCTAGATGAATGCATGCATTCATTAAAGAATGAATAGTATAATTTATACAAAGTGATTGATATAAAGGGGTTGTAATTCTCAATTTTTCACCTAACCTTAAACTTAGGTCAAAAACATTACAGGATACAAGATATTGCACCACAATAAAAACAAAAAGGAATATATTGGGAATACATTTGTGTTATTCTTCATTTGACAAGCCCTCAATGACAGTTCAAAGCCACTTTACTTTTATCTGACATAATGTAATGTGTCTCTTAGAGTTTAGCTGTAAGGGCATATTGCTTTCCTCAGATACAGTCACTATTACACTTTCATTATAGGTAATGAACTGTCAAAATTTAGGATTAAAAATTATATAAGCGCCTTTCAATGTGATATCCTATTGAAACATATTTAATTCTGCAAAGAGACTTTCTTAATTGATTGTTGGAAGCAAAGCTGGCTCCACACTATCTCCTTCACAGTTAATACTAATCAAAGGTCATTCATAACTTTAGCATTCTGCTTAAAAATGTGTAGAATAGATTAATATTTATTAGCAGTTCTTCAACTTCTATCACTCTGTCTAGCATCCCATTTTGTTATCCATTTTTTAAATTAATTTTACCAAGGTCATATTGGCTTATAACACTGTGTTAATTTCAGGTGTATATTATTATATATCAGTTTCTGTAGACTGCATTGCGTTCCCCACCAATAGTTTAATTTTTATCCGTCACCATACATATGTGCCCCTTTATCCCTTTCACCTTCCCCCACCCCTTTCCTCCTTTGGTAACCAATAATCTGTTCTCCTTATCCATGTGTTTGGTTAACTTCCACATATGAGTGAAATCATAGTGTTTGTCTTTCTCTGTCTGGCTTACTTCGCTTAGCATAATACCCTCAAGGTCCATCCATGTTGTCACAAATGGCACTATTTTGTCTTTCTTTATGGCTGAGTAGTATTCCAGTGTGTGTGTGTGTATATATATATATATATATATATATATATATATATATATACACCACATCTTCTTTATCCATTTGTCTGTTGAGGGGAACTTGGGTTGCTTCCATGTCTTGGCTATTGTGAATAATGCTGAGATGAACATAGGTATGCATAATTTCTTTGAATTGTTGATTTCATGCTCTTTGGATAAATACCCAGTAGTGGGATAGCTGGGTCATATGGTATTTCTACTTTTAATTTTTTGAGAAATCTGTTATCTAAGAAAAACCACAATTCAGATATGTATTATTTAATTTCCTGTGGTTGATTTCCCTTTCTCCTTGTCAGGAGTTGACACAGTTATGGAGTTTTCTTTGGTTTCTATCATGAGTCATAAAAATCCGTATCAGTTTAATGAGGCTCCTGTGTGTAAAGCAATGGTTCTCAAACTTGAGCTTGAGTCAGCATCATCTGGAGGGATTGTTAAAACACAGTTTGCTGGGCCTCTCCTAGAGACTTTCTGATTCAGTAGGCCTAGTGTGACGTCCCAGAATTTGTATTTCTAACAAGTTCCAGGTGATGCTGATGCTGCTGGCCCAGGGACCACACTTTGTGAATCACTAGTCTAAGCTAAAAGAATGAAATTGGTGGCATAGGTAAGAATCCTTGCCTTTAAAGAGAGAATCTAAACATTGAGGATTTTTGAATATTCATCTGCATGGTATGTTAATGATCTTATTTTAATGATGTGTCAATCAGTGTAGTTTTCAGTGAAGTGTTTAGTCAATGCTAACACCATGTGTTCAGCATCATGCTAGGTATCATGGCATATACAAAAGAAGGTAATTTGATCTTTTTAAAAAGAGTTTATGTTCTTGCTGGAAAGACAGTGCTAATAATGCCAATTAAACAATCATTCAACAATGCAAGATATATGGTCCGGTACTAACGTTATCATTCAGAAAAATAATTGCTGTCAGAGTTTAGAGACGGGTGAGGGAATTAGATATGCTTAGGTTCTTCATGGCTTGTTTAGGAATTAGATTTGAAATAGTCCTCAAAGGTTACATGGATACTTTGGATAGGTCTGCTTAAGGAGTATATTCTGAGCTGATCCAACAGCAAGAGGAAAAGTGCTCCAATAAAAATTACAGAGGAGTAACATGAAAGAAAAGTTGCTTAAGGGAGGTTAATCTGACAGGCAAGTAGTAGGAATTGCAAGATAAAACCCAGAGTGTTTGTAAGTTTGAAATATTGGTGGTTTGAAATTTTCCGAAAATACTTTTTTCCAGGACAGTTGTGGAGGTTATTTCCAATCAATTTAGAAAAACAGATTTATTAAGGTATAATTGGCATACAATCAACTGTACTTTTTTTTTTTTTGCCAAGGAAAAGTCACCCTGAGCTAACATCTGTTGCCAATCTCCCTCTTTTTGCTTGAGGAAGATTCGCCCTGAGCTAACATCTGTGCCAGTATTTCTCTTTTTTCTATGTGGGTGGTTGCCACAGCATGGCCGCTGATGAGTGGTGTAGGTGTGCGCCCGAGAACAGACTCCAGGCTGCTGAAGCAGAATGCACTGAAGCCAACCACTAGGCCATGGGGCTGACCCCCAACTGTACATATTTTAAGTGTACAATTTCATAAATTTTGGCATATGTAAACAGTGATGAAAGTATCACAATCAAGATAACGACCATATCCATCTCCCCCAAAAGTTTTTTTGTGCCCCTCTGTAATCTCTCCTATCCACCACCTCATACCCAAAACCACCAAGTTGCTTTCCGTCACAACAAATCAGTTTGAATTTTTTAGAACTTCATATAAACAAAACCATACGTTACCAGGTCATTTGTATCTAGCTTCTTTCTCTTAGCATAGTTATTTTGAGATTCGTCCATGTTGTCACCTGCATCACAGTTCAAATCTTATTGCTGAGTAGTAGTTCATTGTATGTATATACCATGATTTGATTATCCATTCACCT